ACTGCTTTGAAAATATTTTTTCATTCTTTTCTTGCTCACATGGTTTCGATGAGAGGTCTGATGGGATAACCTTTGTAAGTAACCTGATGTTTCTTTCTTGCCAATTTTAGTATCCTGTCTTTTGACTGTGGTTTTGGGTAACCTGGCTATGGTAGGCCTTGGAGAAAATCTTCTTGGGTTGATTCTACTAGGGGTCCTTTGTATTTCTTGGGTCTGGATATTTGAATGCCTCTCTAGGTTTGAAATGTTTCCTTACAGGACATGGAATAGATTATCAATACCCTTATTAATTTCTTCATGTTCTGGGATACCAATTATCTGGATGTTTGGATGCTTAATTGTATCTAGTATTTCTCATATAGCATGCCTATTTGGGTTATTTTGGGTTATTTTCTCAGTCTCTTTGGTGATTTTTTTCTAGATCAGAGGTTTGGTCTTCAACATCCAAGATTCAGTCTTCTGCATGGTCTAATCTGCTTTTAATACTTTAGAGGGAGATTTTGATTTCCTGTATTACAGCCTTCATCTCTAACAGCTTTGTTTAATTATTTTTTATGGCGAGTGTTTTTTTTGTGGGGGAGAGGTTTTTGCTATAGGGCGTGTGCGCTCGCCAGACAGAGAGAGAGACAGAGAGACAGAAAGTGAGAAATCATCCCCCAGGTGGGATGGTCACGCCACAATCCCTTCTCCTCCATTCTCCTCTCGGGATCTTGGGCACGCACGCACACGTGCCCGGCGTGAGTTTTAAACCACCGGGTCCGGGACGCACACCGCGGTCGACTACGTGGGAGTCCAGCGACATAGCCATTATGCTAACTGCTGGTTCCCTGTTTGATTCTTTTTTATGGTGTATATTTCCTCTCTCAGATCGTGGAAGAACTTCCTCACCTCCTGGAACTCATCTTTTTTCTCCTGTATCTTCTGGAGTTTGCTGTCTCTCTTCTCTTGCATCTCTGTTAGCTTTGGCACTATGAATAGTCTGAATTCTTTATCAGACATTTTCATAAGTTCCCTTGTACTGTCTGTGGATGATGAAAGATTTGTTCTTTTCCCTTGGGAGAGAGATATTTTCTTGGTTTCTCATATTTCTTGTGCCTCCGCGGTTGTTTCTGGTCATCTGCTGGATTATATGTTTCTTTCTAATTTCTTGTAGTTAATTCTGAGTGTTCACAGGTGTGCAGGAGGAGGTGATCCTCAATCTTTCTGCAGTTCCATTTTCCTGATGTTCACCAAGCAATCTGCACTTTTGACTTTGGAACTGGATTTTACAAAGGCCTCACAGTTTCTAGTAGCTGTGGGGTTTCAACTGAGAGTCCAGAGGTGTGTGGGAGGAGATGGCTGCTCTCTCTCTGCAGCTCCATACTTCACCCTGTTGCTCACCCTGCAGTCTCTCTTCTCTGAGTTTTAGACATTGGTGGTGTATTCACTTTTGGCTTATTGGTTGAAGAAGGTTTCTGTAACTGTAAGATCATATGCTTCCCTTTACTGTAACTGTAAGATCATATGCTTCTCTTTACTGTAAGGTACTTCTGTGAGTTTTTCTCCTTTAATGTGTTTTGCAACATGATATCCACAGAAAGAGATTTTGAGTTCAGATTTATAAAGAGAAATTGCTCTCTTTGGGCAGCAGACTCAGTAAGGGTTGAGGATTTCTATGACCCTTAAAGTATTCAGATCCTTGGTTACTGTGCACCTAGGCCTGCCTAGACGGTCAGTGTATGAAGGCTGAGTAGTAGAATGAGAAAATAAGGTTAAAAAAAGGAAAGGGAAAAGAAAGCAAAGGGGGGAGGAACAAGACAAAAACAAAAAAGGGGGCGAAAAAGCTTTTTTTTTTAAAAAAAAAGCAAGAATTGAAAATCACATGGAGTGTTGCACGTCATGTGAAAATGGCAGGGAACACCTCAGGTTTAAATGGCTTCTGAAATTAGTAAGATAAAGGGGAGGTCAGAGGTGAAAAGAAGTATTTTAAAAATTTTTTTAAAAAGGAAAAAATTCAGAGAGACAGAGAACAAAGGTTGCCATACCTGTCTGAGTTTTGAGGTTCGGAAGATGGGGTTTAGAGCAGAGATTCTTCTTGAATGGTCTGGTGTTGGTAAATTCTTCAAGATTTTTTTATCAGAATGTTTTTATCTTTTCTTCCCATATGAAGGACAATCTTGCTGGGTATAGTATTCTTGGTTGAAATTTTCATTTAACACTTTGAATATATTTTTGGTTGCCTCACCACATCTTTTTTTTTTTTTAAGAGAGATATCCGTGTGTGCCAGAGAGACAGATAGAAAGTGAAAAATCACCCTCCCAGGGGGATGGCCACTCCATAGTCCCTTTTTCTAATCCCCTAAGGATTTTGGGTACTCATGCACATGTGCCTGGCATGAGTTTTAAGCCACCAGGTTTGGGAATTAAACTGCTGTCAACTATGTGGGAGTCTAGCAATATAACCATTATGCCACCTGCTGGTCCCTACTTAGCATATCTTTAAGGTTCATTTGTGTTGTATAGCATATCATTTACTTTTCAAGGCTAAATAATACTCCATTTTATTTATTTGTCATTGTAACACTTGAGTTGCTTCCACATTTGGGTTATTGTGAATACTGCTGCTGTGGACATGGTGTACAGATTTCTCTTTGAAACCTTGCTTTCTGTTCTTTTGAGTGTAGACCCAGAAGTTGGATTCTTGAGTGTTCTGGTAATTCTATTTTTAGTCTTTTGAGAAACTAATACGCTGTTTTCCCCAGTGGTTGTACCATTTTACGTTCCACTAATGGTGTATAAAGATTCCAGTTCCTCCACATCCTTGCTGATTCATGTATTTTCTGGTATTGGTTTTTGTTTGTTTTTTAAGACTGAGTTTATCAGATTTTGTTCTTTTTTAAAAAAAAATTATTTATTATTTTTATTATTATTTAAATATGCTGTAAGGCATACATACTCACCAGAGAGTGCCAGAGGGAAAGCGAGAAAGCAAGTTGCCAGATCTAGGACTCTAAATGTGGTCAGCCTTGTGAGAGTTCAGTGCCTCAACTACCATGTCACCTGCTGGCCCCAGCTATGTCAGGTTCTTTTGGCTTGTTTTTGTTTTGAGAGATCTTTGCTATAGGGCATGTACACTCACTAGAGAGACAGAGACAGAAAGTCAGAGAGACAGAAAGCGAGAAATCATTCTCTGGGAGGGATGGCCACTTCACAGTCCCTTCTCCTCCTTTCTCCTCTCAAGATTTTCGGCATACATTGACATTCACCCAGTGTGAATGTCAAGCTGCTGGGTCCGGGACTCAAACTGCAGTCAACCATCTGAGAGTTCAGTGCCTTAAGCATTACACCATCCACTGGCCCCTGTGTCAGATTTTTAAAGACAGGGTCTAGCTGTGTCGGGATTTTCCTGCCTTAGCCTCAGTTTAGACTCAGCTAAGACTATCAGCTTGCACCACACTCTTGGTTCTTTTTTAGATAACACTTTGGTGGGGACTTCAAAATGTTCATGGAAAAAATAAGATTATAAAATACAAGTTTATTTTTGTATGAAATTTGTGAAATCCATTTGTATTTTTTTTTGAGAGAGAATTAAAAAAATTTTTTTTTAAGTTTTTATCATAGGGTATATACACTTGCCAGAGAGAGAGAGGGATGGAAGGGGAGCAATACCTCCCCAACGGGGATGGCCACACTGTAATCTCTTCTCCATTCTCTCAGGACTCGAGTCTGGGACTCTAACTATGGTCAGTCATGCAGAAATCCAGCAACTCAACTGTTGTTATGTCACCTGCTGGCCCCCATTCTCATATTTTAAAGTATGGTACCTTTGTAGTTGACCGTGTATGAGATAAGAATATCATTTATTATTATGATAATGATGATTATTTTAAAGATTTATTTATGAATGAATGAATGAATTGACCAGAGAGGGATAGAGTGAGAGCAAGAGAGAGAAAAAGTAAGAAAGCAAGCTACCCGTTCTGGGATTCAAACTGCGGTCAGCCGTGTGGGAGTCGAACACCCTTAACCACCATGCCACCTGCTGGCCCCATTATTATTATTATTATTATTTAAAGAAAGATTTTTGCTATAGGGTGTGTGCACTCACCAGAGACAGAAAGCGAGAAATCACCCCCTTCTGGGGATGGCTACACCGCAATCCCTTCTCCATTCTCCCCTTGGGATTTTGGGCATGCCCCGCACACATGCCCTGCCTTCGGGGTCTGGGATTTGAACCACAGTTGACTATGTGAGAGTCCAGTGATGTAACCATTATGCCACCTGCTGATTCTGAGATAGGAACATCATTGGTGGGGGCCAGCAGATGGTATAGCAGTTACGTCACTGCATTCCCACATGGCTGACTGTGGTTGGAGTCCTGGACCCGGGTGGCTCAAAATGGCCCATATACATGCATGCTTAATGTACGTGTCCTAAGGCAAAAACCTCTACCAAAAACAGAAAAGAGTATCATTGATGTTTTTTGAGGCCAGCCAGTGGAGTGGTGGTTAAGGCAGTTAGATCCCACATAGCATACTGAGCCGTCCAAGTCTTGGACCCCGAGGCTTAGAAAACAACCTGAGTGCATGTGCATGTGTGTCCAGAATCCCAAGAAAAGAATGTAGGAGAAGAGATTGAGGAGTGACCAGGTGTGACCATCCTCCCCCAACCCCAAACATGCGGTCTCACTTTTCCTGTCTCTATGGCTAGCACACACACCCTATAGAAAAAAAAAAAAGATTTTATAAGATAAAGATTTCATAACTTTTTTCTATATTCACTGATAGGGTTATTATGGCTTGTATTTCTGGGTTATTGCTTAGTGTAAGATAAAAGCTGAAGTAGAGGAATGATAGTACCTTTTTTCTGTAGTCACATAGAGAAAATTTTAATTAAGTAGAAATTTTTAATTCTCTGAGGTAAAATTCTGTGTAAATTAAGACCCCAAATCAGTTTCTTTTCATGACAGTTATCAGACCAAAAGAGAACATAATGTGATTATCTGATTTTTTTTTTAATAGGAGAGCTTCTAGTTCATATCCAGATATCACTTTATTCCTGCTAATCTGCAAATGCAGTGAATTGGAAGACAACTGTTGCCAAGATAACCTGTAATGGGCAAGGAGCCACAGAGAAGACGACATTTCTTTTGATTTTCAGTCTTGGTTTGAAAGGTAAGACCATGAAAATTATCAGGAGTTCTTTTAGTGACTTATACCAAAGAAAGTGGGGTTCTTTATAAGGCTCTGGATCCTAAGTGAACCAGGTTTGTATCCATTTCTGAACTAGGTACAGCACGGTTTTGCAGGACTATGATACTTTTAGGGACTTAATTGCAGCCACTGTAGTCTGCTTTGGTATATTTCATAGTCTGCAGAACTAAAGGGATTTCCAGTTACTGGGAAAGAATGAGCTGGGCTCTAAGGACCAGCCAAGCCTAGCAAGGTGAAGCAGTAGCATGCAGAGGAAGATTGCTAGCAAAGACTGTGACCTAGGTCACTTCTAAGTCTCCTGGGTATGTGTATGCATGCGTACATGTGTGATCTGTTTTGGTTTATCCCAGCCAAAGGACATTAGCTCCTGGCCAGCCACCTGTCTCTTTTTGAGTTTTAATTTGATGATAAGAGATTAACTTTTTGTATTTGACTTTTGGCTTACTTGGCACATAATAGGAAGTGGCACAGAAAGACCTTTTTGGGGACACACAAACACACTTAATCCAATTTCACTTGACCTACTATATCTCAAGGGAAGGATGGACATAAATAAACCATTTAGTCATCTAGCTTTCTTAACTGGTGCTAGCTTCAAGATGCGGCATTTTAGTCATTCTTTAATATTTCCTTTTCATCTTGATTATCAGTCAGTCATTTTACCAAGACCTATTGACTCTGCCCTGATGGTGATTCCTGTAGTCCTTTTTCTCTTTCTGTTTACACAAAGGCTTCATTATCTTAGGAGATACTATAGTATCTGTAAAGATCTCTGCTTCTAATTTCCAGGTGGATGTTTCCTAGGTATCTACAATACTGCTTTGCATATGCCAGTCTCCCATTTCCAGCCCCTCAAGAATGTTTCCTAGGTATTTATAATACTACCTTGCATATGCTGGTCTCCCACTTCCAGCCCCTCAGGAATGATCCTATTTAACCTTGGGAGTCTTCCCTTGTGCTTACACAATGACGCTCCAGCTTCTTGCCAGGTTCTTAGATAAATCTTCTGATTTTCCTGCTTTATCTCCTGACTGATCTCCTGCATGAATCCACTATGGAGAATTCCCTAAAAGAATTCATTTACTGGGGCCAGCACATGGCATAATGTTTACATCGGTGGGCTCCCACATGGCCAACTGCAGTTTGAGTGCCAGACCCAGCAACTTAAAACTTGCCAGGTGCATGTGCATGCATGCCCAAAATCCCAAGAGGAGAATGGAGAAATAGGGATTGTGGTGTGGCCATCTCCCCCCAACCCCTGTCCCGGGGGAGTGTGATTTCTTGCTTGCTTTCTTTCTGTCTCCCTTTGGGTATCTGGCGAGCGCATGCACCCTATCACAAAAATCTCTCTCAAAAAAACCCCCAACCAAACAAAAATTCATTTACTTCTTGGCTCCTTGTTTCATATGGTTTTATTCTTGTTACACGTATTTGATTTCATATCTTCTAGGGCTCAACGTTCTTCCTACCATTTTTGTCAAACCTTTTTTGATTTTTCCCAGTTCCTTTTGGTTACTCTTCTGTGAATTTTTATAGTACCTTTTTGAATTTTTTTTAGGATTTTTTTTAATACTTAAAGTAGATTTTAAGTATATTACTACTTTTCGCACACTAGTTTTGTTTGTTTGTTTGTTTGTTTGATAAGTTTTGCCATAGGGTGTTCTTTCTGTTTACACAACAGTGACAAGGTGCACTTGTCCAGTTGGGGGAGTGCAGAGACAGAGAGAGGGAAAGTGACAAATCACCCCCCAGGTATGGGTATGGCCATTCTCTTCTCAGGATTTTGGGCACACACGCACATGTGCCTAATGTGTTTTCCAAGCTGCCAGGTCTGGGAATTGAACTATGTAGTTTGCCATGTGGGATCCAACCACCTTAACCACTGTGTCACTGGCTGGCCCCACAATAGGTATTATTGTTTGGTGACAGGAACTAAAATTTCATTGACATTTCTCAGGGTAATATTTTTGAAAAGTTCTTTCTCCTTGTCTACCTCTTCTTTGTCCCCCCCCCCAAAAAATTATTTATTTAATTTTGTTTTTCATTATTATTTTTTTTAATTTGACCAGACATATACATACATACACAGAGAGAGAAAGACAGAGAGAGAGTGAGAAAGTGAGAAAGTAAGCCAACAGACCCAGAACTTGAACCATGGTCGATCATGTGGGAGTCTTAACCGCCACGCCACCTGCCGGCCCCACTTTTCTTTGTTTTATTTCTCTTTTCTGACAGAGGTTCTTGGCTGTGGCAGCTTAAAGAATGTTCCTTACCTTTAGCTATTCCTCCTTTTTCTTCTTTTGGTAATCTCTGCTTGTCAGCTTGCTATTCCACACTGGAGTGGGTAAACTGTTCAGATGTTTTTCAGAAGTCTCCAGGAGTCTTAAAAACAATGCTAGAGAGTTAAGAAGGATACCTAGACCAGCAGGTGGCATGGTGGTTAAGGTTCTGGACTCCCACATGGCTGACCACAGTTCAAGTCCTGGACCTGGTGACTTGCTTTCTTAATTTCTCTCTCTTTCTCTGTCTCTTTCTAGTTAAATTAAAATAAATGAATGAATAAAATAAATAAATAATTTTTTAAAAAGAGAGAGAAGGATACCTAGAGAGGAACAGCACTGTATGTATAGGATACTTTAGGTCAAGGATCAGCAAGCTAACTTTTATTGCAAGAAACCAAATAGTAACTGTTACAGATTTTGTTGTCCAAGTGACAAAAAAAGAGGATATCAATAAGGTATTTATTTATATAACGAGAGAGAACAAATGAAATTCACTATTGACAATACTGGTTTTGTAACATGATGGGTTAAAAAAATCTCCCCAAGTATCCTCTGTTTAGAAAGAATAGCCATAAGTTTTAAACTCTTTATATTTTTACAAATTTTGTGTATTTTTAACCTAATTTTACTATGATCGGTTGTAGCATCGCATAGGAGGTTCTACTTTTTTTAAAGAATTATTTTATTTAACTTTGGGCCAGCAAGTGGTGTGGTGGTTAAGGTGCTGGAATTCCCACATGGCCGACCACAGTTCCAGTCCCGGACCTGACGGCTTCTCTCTATCTCTCTTTCTCTGTCTTTCTCTGGCAAAACTCTGGCAAAACTCATGTGAAAATAATAATAAATAAAGTTAAATAAATTTAAAAAAAGAAATGCTTTAAAGAAAAAAAGAATTATTTTATTTAACTTTATTCATTTTTTTCATATTAATTTGACCAGAGAGGGACAGAGCGAGAGCAAGAGAGAGCGAGAGAGAGAGAGAGAGAAAATGAGAAAGCAGGCCGCCAGTTCCGGGACTCGTACTGTGGTCAGCCATATGGAAATCCATTACCCTTAACCTGCCACATTACCTGCCGGCCCAGCAGGTTCTACTTTTTGAAAATATTCTGCCTGTAGTTGTTTCATGAAGACTATTCATACAAGCTAAAAAGTCAAACAGTACCACAAAGTTTATAACAATAAAAGCATCTGTTCCATTTTTCTCATTCTTGAATTACTCACTTAGGACTGCTGCCTTCATCTCTTAACGATTTTCTCTTATTTACTCCCACATTTCTGAATAAATGCTTTTATACCGGTGTTTTTAATCTATTGGACTTCTTACTATGAAAAGGAGGTTTTAGTTTTAAAAGTTCTCCTCCTCCATTTTCCACCATTTAAGTACAATCTTTGAATAAACTCAATATTTTTAAAAAGAATGATTTATTTAATTCCAATTGTTGTTATTATTTTTTAATATGACCAGAGAGAGAAAGGGAAAGTAAGAAAGCAAGCTACCAGGTCTAGGACTTGAACCAGGATTGGCAATGTGGGAGTCTAGTGTCTTAACCACCATGCCACCTATCAACCCAATAAACTCAGTATTAAAAGTATGTGTATTTTATTCAGTTATTTTCTAAACCTTTGACTTAGTTGCAAAATTCTCTTTGGTGTGGTCATATACATCCAGCAATCTGTCAGTTCTTTCTCCTTGGACTTAACCTTCCCAGTAACTTCTGCCTTTCGCCTTATCCTGGACTTGTTGCTTTGGACCTTCCCTGTAGTTACTGGTCCTTCCTCTTACGTTTCTTTTTAAGTTTTTGCTATAGAGCACAAGTGCTCACCAGAGAGAGAGAGAGAGAGAGAGAGAGAGAGAGAGAGAGAAAGCAAGAAATCACCTCCTTAGGAGGCTGGCCATGCTGCAGTCCCTTCTCCATTCTCCTCCTGAGATTTTGGGCACACGTGCTCACGCAAACCTGGTGTGATTTTTCTTTTTTTAAAGAATTATTTTATTTAACTTTATTTTATTATTTTATTTTTAATTCTGACCAGAGAGAAAGAAAGGAGGAAAGTGAGAAAGCAAGCCACCAGCTCCGAGACTTGAACTGTAGTCCAGACATTTGGGAGTCCAGCACTCTTGAACACCATGCCACCTGCTGGCCCATCTGGTGTGGGTTTTTTTTATTTGGGGAGGTTTTTGCTATAGGGCACGTGCGCTCCCCAGAAAGAGAGAGAGAGACAAAGAGACAGAAAGAGAAATCACGCCCTGGGGAGATGGCCATGCCACAATCCGTTCTCCTCCATTCTCCTCTTGGGATCTTGGACACGCACACACAAGCACCCGGTGTGAGTTTAAGCCACCGGGTCTGGGACTCAAACCGCAGTCGACTACATGGGAGTCCAGCGACATAGCCTTTACGCTATCTGCTAGTCCCCATTTGGTGTAATTTTTAAGTCTCCATGTCTAGGACTCAGACTGTGAAGTTGGCTGTGTAAGATAAGATGCACATAGCCTCCATGTCACCTCCTGGGCCCCACCTCCACCTTCTTCTAGGTCTTTGCTTCTCATTTTCTTGAGTCCCTGGCTTCATGTATTATGGCCATGTTTAGGGAAAGCATATACATATTCCTTTTTTTTTGGAGAGGTTTTTGCTGTAGGGCACATGCGCTCGCCAGAAAGAGAGACAGAAAGCGAAAAAT